CCTATTTGCTCAATTAAACTCAACTCAAAAATACGTCAAATATATTTATTAAACAACAACAGCAACAACGATAATAATAACAACAACAACAATAATAATAATAATAATAATAATAATAATAATAATAATAATAATAATAATAATAATAAAAAAGTACCCGTACCCGCAGCTATACTATTTCCCGAATAACCGCCTGCGAGAAGAAAATTTTTCTTTTTCGTTTTTGTCCACTGTATCCAACCTCCATAGGGTTTTTGGTGTGGACAAACTTCACCACTCTTTTCCCTCCAATCCAGCTTCTCTTTTCAATCCTTCCGTCTTCCTCGAGGTATGCTTCTATTGCTAATTCAATAACTCCCTAACTCTTGTAATTTTTAGCTTCTCTATAAATTTAACTTTTTGCTCTATGCATATTACATTCTTAAAGCAATAATCTTTTAACTCCTAATGGCAAGAGGACCAGCAAGAAATCTCCTTTATCTATATTTAAACAATAATAACAGTTCAAAGTTTAGATTTTTCTCAGTTTCCAGTAGATTCCTACATACCCATTTCACAGAACCGAAAAAAATCCAAGATTTTCACATTTGTGGACACCCTTTACCAACCCCACCTCGATTTTCACCTTTATGGTTTAATCAATGGAAAAGGTTTGATCTTTTTAATTTTTATGGACACCCTTTTTCCACAGTGGTGGAAAATGAAGATAATGAATCAGAACTTTGTAATTTGGATGTTGAAGAGAATGAGTGTGAAAATGGAACGTTAGGGTCTGAGAAAAGATTGAATTTTGTTCAAATAGCTAGTCGTGATCCGGTCGAAATATATAAGGAGCTTAGGGATGCTTCCAAGGGGGAAAAGCAAGCGCGAGCCGATTGGGATGTTTTGATTGAGATTTTTAGATGTTTTGCTAAGTCCGGATGGGCTTCAAATCAGGCTCTAGCTGTGTATATTGGGGCTGCATTCTTTCCTACAGCAGCGCATAAGTTTCGTAACTTTTTCTTTAAGAAGTGTAAGGTTGATATTGCGAAGTACTTAGTGTCGCTTGGTCCGTGCATTGAGGCTGAGAAGTTTCTATTTCCGATCTTCGTGGAGTTTTGCTTAGAAGAGTTTCCTGATGAGATAAAGAATTTCAGGAAAATGGTTGAGTCGGCAGATTTGACAAAACCTCATACTTGGTTTCCATTTGCCAGGGCGATGAAACGCAAGATCATATATCATTGTGGTCCCACAAATAGTGGTAAAACATATAACGCATTGCAAAGGTTCATGGAAGCGAAGAAGGGAATTTATTGTAGTCCTCTAAGATTGTTGGCTATGGAGGTTTTCGATAAGGTGAATGGATTAGGAGTATATTGTAGTCTTCTTACAGGGCAGGAGAAGAAGCATGTCCCATTTTCTAATCACGTTGCTTGCACGGTTGAGATGGTTTCAACTGATGAGATGTATGATGTAGCAGTTATTGATGAAATCCAAATGATGGCGGACTCGCATAGAGGTTATGCATGGACAAGGGCTCTACTAGGGTTAAAGGCTGACGAGATACATGTTTGTGGAGATCCAAGTGTACTGGATATTGTTCGCAAAATCTGTTCTGAAACTGGGGATGAGTTGGTAGAACAACATTATGAGAGGTTTAAGCCATTGGTGGTTGAAGCCAAGACTCTTTTAGGTGATCTGAAAAACGTGAGGTCAGGGGATTGTGTTGTTGCTTTTTCAAGGAGAGAAATATTTGAGGTAAAATTGGCGATTGAGAAGCATACTAATCACCGTTGTTGTGTAATATATGGTGCCTTACCACCAGAAACTCGAAGACAGCAAGCTACCTTATTTAACGATCCGAACAATGAGTTTGATGTCTTGGTTGCCAGCGATGCAGTCGGAATGGGTTTAAACCTGAACATTCGAAGAATCATCTTCAACACCCTGTCAAAGTACAATGGTGACAAGATTGTTCCTGTTCCCTCGTCACAGGTGAAGCAGATTGCCGGAAGAGCTGGTCGGAGGGGAAGTCGCTATCCTGAAGGACTAACCACCACTTTACAGCTGGAAGATTTGGACTATTTAATCGAGTGTCTGAAGAAGCCATTTGACGAAGTTCACAAAGTTGGTCTCTTTCCTTTCTATGAGCAGGTTGAGTTATTTGCGGGGCAAATTCCAAATTCTACATTCTCCGAGCTGCTTGATAGGTTTGGTGAAAATTGCCGTTTGGACGGTTCTTATTTCTTGTGCCAGTATAACCACATAAAAAAGATAGCTAATATGCTGGAGAAAGTTCAAGGATTATCTCTTGAAGATCGTTTCAATTTTTGCTTTGCTCCTGTTAACATTAGAGACCCAAAAGCAATGTACCATCTTCTGAAGTTTGCGTCATCATATGCACAAGAGCTGCCTGTTAATATAGCAATGGGCATGCCAAAATGTTCTGCTCGTAATGATTCGGAGCTCCTGGATCTTGAGACTAGGCACCAAGTGTTGTCCATGTATATGTGGTTATCTAATCACTTTGAGAACGACAAATTTCCATATTTCAAAAAGGCTGAGGCAATGGCAACAGAGATTGCTGAGTTACTAGGTGAATCACTAGCAAATGCTCGGTGGAAACCAGAGTCAAGGAATTCCGGGAAACAAAAAGGCCAGGAGAAGGATGGTGGTAATGAAAGGCCAAGGTCAGTTGTTAAGTTCCATTGAATTCTTTTTGGTCCGCAATTGGTTATTTCTTTCTCGAACTTTATTTGAGCAATTTAAATAATATACGCAAAATGACATCTAAATTATGCCGGATGAGTCGAACTCATGCCCCTCTCATGAATTGGTAAAGGCAATTATTACCTTCTATTATTTTTCGTATTTTGTTATGATCACCTAATTATCACTTAACGAGATACTTCCAAAATCATTGCAATTGTGGAGGTGATATGATTGGCCATTCAAGCTATTTCATCTTTACTCTTCATTCTCCACTGAAGTATTAAAATTTGTAGCTTTAATATCTGATTCTGTAACCTGGGCATAGAAATGAATTGGTCATTTTAATCCGTTTTCCTTGAGAATTGAGATTCCTCTGGCGAAAAGCAATGACTAATACGACTGATTCTAGAGGTAAAATCACCGAGTACATTTTACTGCACAATAATATTAGGTTTCTTATATTCTCAAAAAAAATATTAGGATTCTTATTACTTGTACTCGATACCATGCTTGCAAAGACCAACACAGTTTATTCCTGCTAGGACCCGCTTCTTCTTCTAACCAGCATGAGAGAGGAAAAAACTGCGGGGCCACAGGAATCGGTATCTTACTTGGCGCTAACGGAATCTTATTTGCATTAGAAGTATATTGCATGAAGAGATGATAGGTTGAGGAGGTGCATTAATGTCTTTGCTTAATCTTTGATCATTTCCAAAATTTACTCCTCATATACAAGTCATTAACAGAAAGGCCTCTAGAGGTTTATGCCAATGTTTTGCTACTCAAACAGTTTACAGTTAAAGTTATGTTTGTTGCATCCTTTGTTTATCATATTACCTTATGCTACTATGTCTTGTCTTTGTTTTTTTTCCTGTGTTGTTACTGTTAGTCACTTCTTGTTTAGTGTTTCTTTAGCTTAGGGTCTATCAAAAACAACCTCTCTACCTTCAGGTAAGGTCTGCTACTACCCTCCCCAGACCCCACTTGTGGGATTACACTGGGTTTGTTGTTGTTTTGTTTATGCTACTATGTCAGAACTATACACATTTTACCTGCGAGAGCCAATCCTAAGACGTCAGGAATTTGCTTACTCATTTGATTCCATTTTCAGGAGAAGACAGGAAACATCTTTGTCTCACCAGCAGCAGCTGGAGAAGGTTGCAGCATAATAGTGCTAGTTTGGCGGTTCTTGTACTATAGACTTGTACGGGCATCCGGCAAAGCAGATAGTCTTGTACAGCTCCCAGATATAGCAGACTAGATTTAGAATATGACAGGCAAGAAGACGCAAGCTTCGTCCAGATGTTATCGCATTTAGGTCCCTGCGAGGATGCATTGTTATTTTTTTTAAAGTAAATTCACATGTTTAGTCATAATGCATCATGTTCATTAAAGGAATGAACGATTCGGAACAGAGGGTCTCTGCCCCGTTTGTTGGCTACAGTTGTACTGAAATGACTTGTTCAATCATTGACTACTGGAGTGAAGCTAATGGAGATTTAATGACTTAAAGAGTATGTGATCCGAATACATAGAAGCTGCGTCAAAATCTAGCAACATCAGAATTGAGGTAAGGTGGAGGATTCTGATGCTTAGTACGTTTATTTGTTAGGCGAGCTTTACTTTCTCATTGCCACTGATGACTATTGGATGAAAGTCTCATATGTAGTTATCTCAAAAGTCTCATATGTAGTTGTTCTGTGTATAACATGCATGTTTATTGTTCTTTGTTCTGAGGGAATTCTCTGAACATTTCTGGCTCTGTGATAAAGAATAATGGCTACAAGTTTAGTCTTTTCCTGTGGAATTGTCTTTGCTTTTACCTATTTTGGAATTTGATGTGTGTGAATTAGGAGGTTTTCTGGCACGTAACATTGCAAACGCTTACACATAATTGATGTGGCTAGGAAGGTAAATACTTACTCGCATCTGATATTTACCCCTAAAATTTATCAATTACCAATGGTTAAATGATTTGAGATGACAATATTTTTCAATAAACCATGGGAAAGTGATAGAAGTTCCATCTGTTAATAATCCATATCATGCACCTATTGGTTTAACGTAAACATTGCAGGTAAATTTTTATGGTCTAGGAGGTTATTTGAAGCAAAAGTGATAGAAGTTCATGTGTTATATCTACTAGTTTTATGTGAGCATTAGGTGCGAATAAGTTTTATCGGTTAGGACACTATTACGAGTCAATCTCAAACAAGTTGAACTTTATCATATTGAAAATAAGTTTAAGAATAAATAAGTTAAAGAATGAGCTTAACAACCGCAATTATGATTTATGAAAGACAAACTACTAACTGGATAATATAGTGTAGCAGTCTGCTGAATTGAGGCAATGTCTTATTGTGTTGAAGAAGAGTTTCTTCAGTTTCATATTTTGTGCAAGAGAATACCCCAGCTTCTCCTATCTTAGTGTGTAAAACTCAAGAATACAGCAAACCTGCTGATTGAATTACAGAAAAAGGTACAAACCAGAGACCCAAGTTATGGTGCCATTTATGAGAACATTCACTGTGGCACATCAATTTACAGTCTTCTCTGCACTCTTCTTTTGATCCCAATACAAAAAATCCATCAACTTTAAAACTGATAACACTGGCAGGAAAAAGTGAACGAAAAATCTTATTACAGGTATAGAAACCCGATGCTCATTTCCTTAGCAAGGCACTACACTGAGCCATAATCTTTGAGGCCCTAGTAATTGCATCAGTCATGTAGAAGTTCTCCACAGCAGGTGTGAATGGAGTTGAACTTACTTTTTGGCTGACCTCAGGTCTTAAAGAAGTTGAGAATGTGGCTGGTGTTCTCTCATCCAATTCCAGGAGATTTGGTGCCACTGTCCCAATTCGAGATCGGATTGCCCCTAGACTATCATAGGGTAATCCAATACCTGCGACCTCAGATAATGCTCTGATTATCTTCCAATCATCCCTGGAATCACCCACAGTAGGAACGGCTGGCAGTGTGATCTGAGCACATCCTTCTGTGTTTTCATATATTCCTTCTTTCTCGGTGAAAGCAGATGCCGGCAAAATCACATTGGCACGATATACACCACGATCACCATGGTGACCTTGGTAAACCACAAAGGCGTCATCTGGAAGTTTGTCCAAGCTCACATCATCAGCACCCATCAAATATACAAACTTCGCAGAATCAATGCATTTTTCAGATTCAGGCACAAGTCCAAGATCAAGAGCGGCAGCTTGGGCAGCATTCAGCAGCAACACATTTAGTCCATTCCAATCAGATCTCACAACATTATTGTTCTTCGCAATAGTGTCAACAGCAGCAAAAACAGCATCCTTGTCCTCTCGGTCAAACACACCAGCACCGACGATGATGACTGGGTTCTTAGCATTTTTAAGAGCCGAGGAGAAGGGGTGGCGGCCCTCAGCAATTTCAACTAGTGTTTGAGGGTCTGTTCCGAGATGTTGATGATCGTAGTTGAAATCAGCAGCAGCCCCAATATAACCCACCTTAGCATTATTTGCTCTAACTGTTTTGCGTATTCTGGCATTCACCATAGCAGCTTCCACCCTTGGCTGGAATTCAAGAAGTCAATCACCAATAAAGGATGAGAATAATAGATATGCAGCTAGCTAAAGACAATAAATAAATATATGTGCACCATTGGCACAAAAAGAACCTAGGTACCCGAGTTACCCCCAAAAATTGCAACGTTCAAGTACCATTATCCACACTTCATTAGACTCAATGTCGTTAAAGTTGCACCGGACTAAACAAGATTTCCAGATGAATAAGGTAGGGCATTAGTATATCTAATTTAGATTTGACCCCAGTGAGAAAACTTCTTAAATGCTTTGGTGTTCCACATATTCTTCACACCTCCCCGCTCTTTCCTCATTGAATAACTTCATGTAATAACATACCATCAATGATTTCTCTATTTTCCCCATCCAGACCATCCCCCACC